GTACTATATACAATATATATTTAAATGTATAGATATATATATATAGATATATACATTCATACATATATACATACATACATACACACATACATACACACAGACAGACAGTCACACAAACACACACACACACACATATATATATATATATATATATATATTATACACACACACACACACATATATATATATATATATATATATATATATTATATAGTGACATAATGGCTTTTTTTACATCTATATATTTGCATGTGTGCGCCGTGTGGACTGCTTCGCGAACTTGTCTAGTTTTGTACTGTCGCTAGGTTGTTTATCCATATACATGAAAGAGGGGCCTTGTACACGCAGTAAGCTTATCTACAGACAGATAGCAACTGGGCCTGTCACACAATTTGGACTGTCTCATAACATATTGTAATTGTGTTACATACCATTCCTGGGTCTAATAATCGTGCCGCCACCAATGGGTGTACGATCAAGCTACATAGTCAAATTACACATGTTCAACTCATATTATAATAACTTACGTGTATATCATAGTCATACTACAAAGCGAGTACGAGACCACGGACGCAATAGCGCGTGCACCCTTATTTGCGGGGAGCGGTTTAGGAGCAGACATGTTGATGAAGTATGTAATAAGTGATGCCAATGGAGCTAGTGACTATCTGGTGCGGAGTGTATTGACTATCCTTGTCCAAAGCATATGCAGCGTATAATAAGGACCAAACAATTAACAGATATGTACACACGCACGCACCGACATGCTGGAATCCAGAATCGGATCAGAATCAGGATGCGTTTGGTGCTACATATGTAACTGCAACAAATTGGCACACAGATTCATTAAATTTTTTTATTTCACACCAACAGATGCGCCAGTGCGGTGATTGCGTTGTTCGGCACATTTGTCAACCACAAATCCATTGGCCACGTTATTTTCAGCGTACTCCACACTCCACAGATCAGATCTGTGTTGCTAATTAAATAGTTACCAGAGCCCAAACTCCAGAGGCTGTCAGTGTCATTTTAACTTGTCATATGTCAGTGTCGTTTCAACTTGTCACTTGTCAGTGTCATTTCAACTTGTCGCTTGTCAGTGTCATTTCAACTTGTCACTTGTCAGTGTCAGTGTCAGGCCTCAGACCCTCAGCCTGTGGAAGTGTGACTCGGTGTTAGGGATAATATTATTTATTTCAAAAATGGCTAGTATGTATGATACAATGTATGAACATATGGTATGGCTCTCATAGTCGCTGTAGTGGTTCAGGAAAGATTGATGGGAAGAAGTGGTCAGTAAATTCCCGTTTGAAGCTTGGGCCAAGTGAGTCGACAATGGAAGATATGAGGCTGTCCTCTCACTCATCACTCGCAATCACCCAGGTGACGGTTAGTTTAGGGTTTAGTCCTTAGGGTTATACATTGGGGTATCGGGCTAGAGAGTTCAATAGTTGCCTAAAAGCACGCACGCGCTGAATTTTTAAATATTGCTGATGTTCTGGAGGGAGACTGGGAGTGGCTAAGAAAAATGGAAACATTAGGGGCCAGTATTTATATTTTTACATACATAAATACATGAACACTGTGTCAGCCTTCTAATTGATACAAGCAGGCTATGTATGCATATGTGCTAAGGAAAAACCCTATAAACTTACAAGAGCCTTCTAAATATAGTGTTTATTCACATATCGATATAGGTTAATATTGTAGATTTATTGGCTATTGTAGTAAGCCGGGCCTCCACATTAGACTCCATGTATAAACGTATTCTTAAGCAGTACGCAAATTATAAACGTACTCTTAATAGTACGAGGAACTGAAGTTTCCTAAATGGATTCTTAATAGTACGGGGAACTTAAGTCTCCTAAATGTGCTCTTAATAGCACGAGGAACTTAGGTTTCCTAAAATGGTTTTAATTGTTAAATTAATTGAACCTTTTCCATTTAACATATCAGATATTTGGATGAGGCCATTATAAGGCCTCAGTAAAATACCAAACATACTAGTTCTATTAATAGAGCTTTATTTACTTTCCAATTTTATTTATATCTGAATACTTCGATAGCGAGATGGCTCAACCGAATTTAGGTTTCTACGGACTATTAACGTTACCTAGTTGATCCTCCGATAAGCCAACCAGATGTGCCAGTCTGATGAAAGCTAAGCCGGTAATTATTGATAGTGGCAAGTTATTGGTTCAGACAATAACTAAGGACGTCAAGAGTATTTTTCTTTTGTATTTCTTTTTTATAAAGATAGGATTTTATGAGCTTCTCGGATTCGCCCCAATAAAACATACCATAGTTTCTAATAGAGCGACAACGAAACAATAAATAAAATCCCTTCGGCGGAACCAGTACTGAGAGGATTATATATAGGCAATATCTCAGCCTCACAATCCCTCGGAGTATTGCTGTTTTCACGAGGCAAATCTGACTTTATTAAACGTCTCATTTAGTTTATTTATATCGATATTTACACGATATTTAAAATTTACCTAGGCGTCTATTTATTCTAAGGCTTTAGTATCGCCTTTATTAGACCGAATCTTACACTATGGTGATAAAACTACTATTCTTATCATATATAGATTGTTTTGAGTTGAAAGCCGATTGATTTTGACGTCGTGTGGATATAGACGTACGGACTATAACACCAATGATTAGATGTTAGACAAATCCCATAGCGGTTGAATTTGTAGTCGATGCATTTGTACGTATTTAGTATGCGATCGTGCACAAAAGGAGGCGGTTGGAAACATGTGTCTGATAGTCTTGGTATTTAAATATGTGGGTGTCAATTTCATTCGCATACTTTTGTAGACACTCAATATGCAAGTTTTAACTCCCTACTATATGCGATCATCAAATATATGGAGGAATAGATTAAGCTGGTG